GAGGCGGCGGAGGAAGGGCCAGCGTCTACGTACTGCTGGGCAGCATCGACGTCGATGGGCTTGACGGGTTTGTTCTTGGACTCGCACACTCGTGCCCATCCTGGAGACAAAAGGTAGGTTGGCATTACATCGCCACTTTGTCCTTGCTGTCACTGCTCTTCCTCGGCCTCTGCTTGCTCCGCCTTGCGTTGGCTTTGCTGTGCCGAGCAGGCGCCGGTGGGATGCACGCTGTCGTTCCAGAGCGGGTCGGTGAGTGTATTGTGCAGCTCGTACGCCGGCTCGTCGGCCATGTGGCGCAGGAGATCCACAAAGACGCTGCGCATCTCAAACTCGTCCAGGCACGGATAGGTTGCCGCACGCACCGGCTCCCCGCCATGCGAACAATACGCACATGCCCTACTCCGGCTCGCATGGCCTTGGACTGCATCGTCGCCTCCTTGGACGCGTGCACATGCTCGAGATGCTCGGCACCCTTGGCATCCCGGGGTCCGGCCGCAAGGGCGGACGAGGTGCCTAGGTCGAGCAGCAGCGCAAGCATGGCTCTGCTCGTCAGCCCCTCTGCTCCGCCAACGTGCTCGAGCTTGGGCCCGCGAGCGTCGTGCATCGCTCCTGGCCTTGCCGCTCGTCGGAGCTGGTGTGCTTCCCCTGCGGCGACCGCGGCTCTTTGCGGTTCTTGACCTCCCAGGCCACGTACGTCATCTGGCCTGCCGGCTCTTCGTCGTCGCTCCAAGCGCGGTCGAGATCACCGACGAAGACGGGCAGGATGCCGTCGATGCCGTCCTGCATGTGTGCCATCTGGAGTGCCAAGCCGCGCCGCCAGCAGTACCCCAGATACGCGGGCGTGATTTGCAAGATGGGCTGTGCCCTCACGTCAAAGTGCGTATTGTTGATGCACGCCTCCACCCTCGCCTCGCCGCCGACGCCGCTCGTCGTCGTCGTCGTCGTCACGCGTCGCTTGACCTCGTCGATCCTCTGGCGCATCATGGCCGCCTCCTCTTCGTTTTCGACACGCGCCAGACGGTCGAGCACCTCTTCCAACGGCAGGGGCTGGGCGAGCAGCTCCGCGCGATCCGATGGTTTCGGCTGGCGCGCATGGGTGCCGCCGCCCGGACTACGACCCGTACCGTGTCATTGCTCCCGAAAAGTCGATCGAGATTCACGCCCTTCGAGAGGTGGCCGATGTTGGTGGGGTTCCGGCTCGCTCGGGCCGGTACCTGCACACGCCACTCGCCCACTTGCGCCACGCGCGCCCTGGAGGCGCGCATGTACATCTTCGCCCACTCAGGGGTACGAAGCACGTACATCCTGCTCACCTACTCGCTCACTTAGTCCCTCACTTGTTCGTTCGCTCGCACACACTGAAGATAGCGACATCATCATCAATACATTCTTTGCTCGAACATCTCTGCCTGTCGTGCGCTCTACCGGCGCCCTAGCGATACAATCTGTACGCGAACTCCTACAGCCGACTCCATCAAGACCGGTCTGAGCGAGGCTACCGTCAACATTGCGGGTCGCGTGACTTTCCGTTCGGACAGGTGGGAGCAGACTGAATTTGGAATTCGCTGGCGGATTCGCATCGACAACGGAAAGGGAGGCCACTGCCGACTTTTGGTATGCCGCGTAGATCTGGGATCACCTCATTTTCCGATCTTCTTGTTGGCGCTCTGGATTCGTTCAACCAAGCGGAAATGCTTTAAGAGCGACTAGAGCGCTGCAGCGACCTCAGCCTTGGCGTGCTTCATCCTGAATTGCGACTTGTTGCCAGGCTTCATAGAGCAGGAGGCGCCCCGTCGCGTATTGCCGTTGCAGCGACTCGAAGGCCCTTGTCGGTCATGCGTGCAGGCCAGTACCTCTGGTGGTTGGGGCAGATCATCATGTCCGCAGAATGCACGGAAGCAATCAAGTTGACAGGGGTCCGATTGATGGCGTTCTTGGGTCTGTGAAGGGGGGTAGAGCCACCAACCTGGACTTTTTTGTCGTCGCTGCGTCCAAGGAGAAGAGAGAGAAGGAAAGAGATCGGGCGAGAGAAGATGGATAACGGACCCGGCGGACGACGTCAGGTGCCGTCATCACGGTACTGGCATTGTTGCTTGAAGGTTCTCGAGCTCATCCGCACTATCGTAGGTGCCGTTCCTCTTGGCAGAAAGCCTAGGTTCACTCCATCGTAGCTGGCGTAATCGTCGTTGGAGGCACCATCGTCTCTGGTAGCATCATCATCATCGGCGGCGGCACCATCTTCGCTCCGGCAATGACCAGGACGCCTTCGCCTTCTTCGATCACAATGTTGGTGTTCACTGTAGCAGCTTTCTTGATGCGGAATGTAAATTAAGCAAGCGTCTGCCCAGAGCTGTTTGCCTGTGACCTTACAGATCGTGGAGACAAGTGTTGTTTGAAGCTATTCACGATGATGCACTCCGTTCTCGTCCCGTTGTGCCATAGCCCCTCGTGCAAGCGAGCCTGTGATACGTCTGCGCAACGCTGCCGCTGATGCTCATCGTTGTGACAGACCGCATTGAAACTCGTCACATATGGATCGTTCAGCGTTACACGCAGGCCAATCCTCTGACAAAGACCATCCGTCTGAAAACTTGGCCACAGTGCCTTTACAACCTGGGCGGCTTCCATGCAGGTAACATTTCTCCGTTGAGCAGGCGAAGACTTTTCGCCGGCCTCATTCGGCGCTCTCGTCCCGCCCTCTGTTCCCGCATTCTTGTTCCGCATTCTTATTCCGCATTCTTGTTCCGCACTCTCTTTGCGCGACTCGATTTCGCCCCTCGCACAGAAGCGGTGTACCGCTCGCTCACTAACATTCTTCACCGCGACCAGCCTGCAGCCAGGCTCTCAGTAGTCGTTGCGCCTACACAGGCCGCACGTCAAGTAAAGATGGACGGGATTCAATTGACGAAAAAACAAAAGAAAAAAAAGAAGAGGGGAAAATTGAAAATATGCGGAGAGGGGGAAAAGCGCAGAGAGACGCGTGCGGGAGAAAAAGTGGAGCGGGAATTCATTTTTTTCGACACCTGTCAAAAAAAAAAGTACTCACGCCTCCACCATCATCGCCATGCTACCATCATCTCGTTCAAAGGTCCTCCAGCTCGTCGGCGCTGTCGTAAGTGCCGGCCTTCTTCTTGGCAAGACGGTCCTTACGCGCTTTTCGCTTGTCTGACGCCGATTCCTTCTTGACCTTCTTGACCTTCTCGAGCTTGTTGCCAAGAGCGTCGAACTTGTCCTCGTCGTCCTCCTGGGTCTCGATCTTGGTACCCTTGGAGTTGGACTCGGTCCAGTCGTGGCCGGAAGCGACGAGGACACCGTCGTTCATGGCCCAGATCTCCTTGCAGGTACCCTCGGAGAACTCGCGCGAGTGCGTGATGATCGCAACACCGCCCTGGAAGCTCTCGATGGCCTTGATGAGCGCGGCGAGCGACTCACGGTCCAAGAAGTTGGTGGGCTCGTCGAGCACGATGATGTGGGGCTTGCGCCACGTGGCGGCACCAAGCACGACCTTAACCTTCTGACCACCCGAGAGACCGCGCATGGTGTTGTGCGAGGTGAACTCGCGCTCCAGACCGAAGTCCTCGAAGTGCTGCTCGATCTCCTTGCGCACAAGGGGTCGGTTCATACCGAGACGCTGCGCCTCCTTCGAGTCGAACGCCATGACCTTCTTCTCGAAGCCACGCTTGATGAGCTCGTCACGGGGGATCCAAACGTTGTCGGCCGACGACATGTTCTTGAACGAGACCTCGTACTGGAACGAGTTCTTCAGCTTCTTACGAGCCACGATATCCTCGATGAGGCGCTTGACGCCCTCGACGACGTAGACCTCGCCCTGCTTCATGGCGAGCTTCTCCTCCTCGGAGAGCTCACGGTTGGCCTTCATGTGCTCCTCGAGATCCTCGCCGGTCTGGTAACGCCAGAGCATGTAGTCGAGGGGGGTCTTGTCGAGGTGCTGGTCGATGTGGTGGAAGGCGTGCTGGGCGACGTAGCCGATGACCAGATTGGGGTGCTTCCACATCTCACCGGAGCCGGGCTCGGTGTCGCCGACGACGAGCTTGACGAGCGTCGACTTGCCCGAACCGTTGGGGCCGAGGATGGCGACACGCGAGGCGAGCGAGATCTGGATGCTGACACCCTTGAGCTGGGGAGCGGGCGTGCCGGGGTACTGGAAGGTGACGTCCTTCATCTTGATGAGCGACTTCTCCTTGGTCTTGACACCGTCCAGCAGAGGAGGGTCGGGCAGCTTGAACGAGTAGTCCTCGCCGGTGTTGAGCTCGGCGTAGGCCCTGGCCTCGGGGACCCGCTTGACAAAGGCGTCGAGGTTACCCGGGTATCGCTTCACCTTGAAGCGGTTGAGGTGGAGGATGTCGGTGCAGACGTCGTTAAGGAACTTGGAGTCGTGCGAGACGATGATGGCGGTGGCCGGGGTGCCGATGAGGTAGTCGGTGATCCACTTGACGTTGACGACGTCCAAGTGGTTCGTGGGCTCGTCGAGCAGCAGGATGTCAGCCTTGAAGAGGATGGCGCGGGCAAGGGCGACCTTCATCTTCCAGCCACCGGAGAGACCGGCGATGGGCGAGTTCTGACGAGCGTCGTCGAAGCCGACCTCGTGGAGGGTGGAGACGGCCTCCTCGCGGGTCATGCTGAGGCGCTTGTCGGCGAGAATGAACTCGAGGACGGTGGTGAGACCCTCGGAGCCGTCGAGGTCGTGCTCGACGTACCAGGTGCGGACCTCCTCGGGCGATGGGAAGCCCTCGACCTGGCCGTTGGTGATGGCGCGCATGAGCGTCGACTTGCCCGAACCGTTACGGCCGCAGAGACCGTACTTGTGGCCGCGCTTCAGACGCAGGGTGGCGGTGTTAAGGAGAATCTTGGCACCATAGGCGAGCGAGAACTGGCAGTTGCAGAGGTCCTCACCCTCCTCCTCGTCGTCGAAGATCTCGACCGAGTCACCGGTCTCCTTGGCGAGAGCAGTGAGAAGCGCCTTGCTGACGGCCTTGGCCTGCTCGGGCTTGGAGCCCTTGATGAGGGTGATGTAGGGGATGAGGGCACCCTCCCACTCGGTGAGCTCGAAGTTGCGGGCGTTGGCGAGGTTGGCAACGAGGGTGGCAACGTAGGCGCCGAGGTTGGCCTGGGCCTGGAGGCTCTGCTCGCCAAGCGCCTTGTTGACCTGCTCGAGCGAGGCCTTGATGCTGACGTCCTCGAGGGGCTTGACGTCGGAGCCGTCGCCGGTGACGTTGCCGACTTCGCGGAGCGTCTTGATGGCGCGCTGGACGACACCACGGGCCTCGGGGTCGGCGAGGGTGGACTCGATCTTGATCAAGCCGGGGAGGAGCTTGCCGAGGAAGGGGCGGACGGTGCGCTCGTTGTCGACGAGCTTGGTCATGTTGTCGATGATGACGGCGACCTTACGCTTGGTGGCGGTGGGGCGCTCGTTGAGACCACGCGAGAGCAGGGGCACCATGAGGGCGAGGGTGGCGCTGTCGACCTCCTGGACGAAGGTGGTGGCCGAGAGGAGCTGGATGGTCTTGGGCACCTCCTCGACGGGGTGGATGAGCGAGTTGATGAGGGCGGGGATGAAGCGCTCAATGTCCTTGTTGGAGATGAGCACGCAGAGCTTGGTGAGGGCGGCGCGCGAAGCCTTCTGGACGTCGGACTTGGTGTCCCAGATGACCTCGGTCATGACGGGGATGATCTCGGGCATGAGGGCGGCCATGCGCTCGGAGCTGACGGTCACAAGCTCCTCGAGGAGGGTGATGCAGCCGATCTTGACCTGCCACTTGCCGGCGGAGCGGGCCTGCTCGAGGATGACCTTGAGCAGCTGGGGGGTGGCCCAGGGCGACATGACCTGGACGAAAGCCTTGAGGGCGTCGAGGGCAGCCTTCTGGACGGCCTTCTCCTTGTCACCCATGGCCTCGACGAGGGGGGTGAGGACCTTCTCGAAGAGGAAAGGCTCGACCTCGTGGCCGACACCCTGCTCGCAGAGGTTGGAGAGGAGAGCGCAGGCGCCCTCGCGGCCGGCGGCGTTCTTCTTGTCGCCGAGGCCCTTGAGGATGACGGCCTCGATGCCGAGGTTGGCCAGAGCAGCGGGACCCTCGATCTTGACGAGGTTGGTGAGCTCCTGGGCGGCATCCTTGTCGCCGGAGAGGAGGGCGTCGGTCTCGGCGCTGGCCTCCTTCTTCTCGGCGGCGGCGCCGCTCTTGGCAGCAGCGCCAGCCGAGCCCTTGACGGTCTTGGCGGGGACAGTGGCGGGGACACCAGCAGCGGTAGGTGCGGGAGCCATGATGTCTAGCGTTTTTTTTTTTCTGTGATGTGAAGAGAGTTACGGAGACCGGGATTAGGGAATCGAGTCGGTGAACGACTTTTTTTGCTTTCTTCACAGAAGAAAAGAGGAAAGAGCGTGTGGATCGCTCTTTGAGCAAGGTGATGTGTACAGTGCTAGCGATAGCTCTGTGAAAAGGATGATGATCGCCAAAGGGGGGCGGAGGGGGAGGAAAGGGATGATGATGATGGATCGGAAAGAAGCCGTGATCGGATCAATCTCCAAGGCCGTATATGAGGGAAAATTTTTGCGGGCGCCGGAGGCGGCAGAGCTGCTGCGCAACGAAGACGGACTGGACAGCTCAGCAGACGTTCAACCCACTCACTCACCGCACTCGCCGCTGAGCCGTCTGCGCCGCCGAGCAGAGAATCCAACACGCGCTATCGGGCGGAGGCGTTTTCTGAGGCGTTCTGAGGCCACAAAAAAAAA